TCATATAGGCGGTTACGGACTAGCTGGCGCTTAAGATTACTCGGTGGAATTTCAACTACGCTCACCGAATTCTCTAAGCCTGCCCTTCTTAAGCAGCGTTTTATAGCTGTACTTATATCATTTCAGATGAAGGGTAGGATAAACGGGACCCTTCTATCGCTAGAGTTGTCGTTTGGAGGCCTACGATTTCCTCTACACCTATCCTGAGCTACAGTTTCGTAGCCATTAGAAACGGCTATTTGCCGTGCCAAGTTCCGGGACTCCTCTCTCTGCTCTCTTCCCGTGCACACGTTGGTTGCTGTTCGAAACATGTTTCTTATAAGCGCCCTTTTCGTGTGAGAGGGGTGAGAGGAGAGGTAATGAACCAAGATATTTTTACTACTTGGCTTTCGGTACCACTTTGTAATGTAGCCATTTTCTGATAGGTGAATTTGTAGGTTCAAAAATGGAAGCCATTTGTCTTTCGGCTTTTCTCAGGTGAACCTGATATACTCTGACTGTGCGTTTAACAATTCGAAGCATTTGTCCATTTCCTCTTGTGTTGAGCAAAGGACAAAGCAGTCGTCTACATACCTACAGTAGAGTAGCGGCCCGAGATCAGTCACCGGTGCTTCCACCTTAGACATAAATGCGATGGCAAGGCTTGGAGCCAGTCGTTGTCCCATTGCCAACCCTCTTGTTTGAGCGTAGTGCTTTCCGGACCATCTGAAGATTGAGCAGCTCAAGCATTCCTTTAAGAGTGCCACCAGGTGCTCTATCTTGAAGCCATACATGTTTATTTCTCCTACGTGTTGTGTAAGGAGTTCGAATATGGCTTGCATTGCGGAGTCATCCGACACGTTTGTATAAAGGGCGGTAACGTCGAAGGACTCCATCACGCACGCGCAGTTGGGCTGCGCAGTACGTAGACGATCCAGAAACATCTGGGTATTCGTAAGATGGGCTGGAATGTGTTTCAATAACTGGTTAAATATTAGGATTAAAAACCATGTTATCCTCTCCGTTGGCCCGTCTACGCAGCTAATGATAGGTCTAACCATAAATAGTGATGGATCGTTAGACGCAAGATCATCGCTGGATACTAACTTATGAGTTTTTATAAGTACAAGATGGGGCATGTTGGTAAGTCAACTTTAAGTTGAGAGATAACTGATGGTTTTAAACCAGCAGCCCTTACCGTTTTGGCCCATTCGTGTTTTAGTTTTCGGTATTTACTTTTGAATTCCTCCTCAGATGATGGGCGATAAAGCGAAGCATCTTCAAGATGCTTTTTCGTTATCTCCACATCTAACTGATGAGGAATTACGACAAACTCTCCACCCTTATCACTAACGGAAAGTCTTATGGTTTTCAACCTTATCAGCTCTTGTACCCCCCGCATACCACATTTTTGCACTGGAGTGAGGTTTGAGCTGTACCTTTTCGCGCGATAGTGATTAAGGACCTTGAGAGTTTCATTCGCAAACATCCGAAATTTAACATCAACTTCATTATTGGGCTCTTGTTGTCTAAAGAACGTCGGGGGAAACGGTGCCATTGGTAGGGCCCGAAGGTAGGAACTTGGCACGGCAAATAGCCGTTTCTAATGGCTACGAAACTGTTGCTCAGGATAGGTGTAGAGGAAATCGTAGGCCTCCAAACGACAACTCTAGCGATAGAAGGGTCCCGTTTATCCTACCCTTCATCTCAAATGATATAAGTACAGCTATAAAACGCTGCTTAAGAAGGGCGGGCTTAGAGAATTCGGTGAGCGTAGTTGAAATTCCACCGAGTAATCTTAAGCGCCAGCTAGTCCGTAACCGCCTATATGACCGCCTATGTGCAACTCAAAATTGCATAATTTGCCCCAGTGGTAGAGACGGTGATTGCATAAGCTCGGGTATAGTTTATCTGATCTCCTGTAAGACGTGTGGTGACGAATACATTGGCGAAACGGGTAGACCCCTCTGTGTCCGCATGAAGGAACACCTAGCCGGCAAAAATAGACCAAATACCCCGCTAGGCACGCATAGGACCCAGAGACATAACGGGGACGACTTCGAAGTATGTGTCACGATCCTCGCACGTGAACCAAGAACACAGGCGCGAAAAACTCTCGAGGCACTCTGGATTAATTCCAGAAANCAAATAGCCGTTTCTAATGGCTACGAAACTGTTGCTCAGGATAGGTGTAGAGGAAATCGTAGGCCTCCAAACGACAACTCTAGCGATAGAAGGGTCCCGTTTATCCTACCCTTCATCTGAAATGATATAAGTACAGCTATAAAACGCTGCTTAAGAAGGGCAGGCTTAGAGAATTCGGTGAGCGTAGTTGAAATTCCACCGAGTAATCTTAAGCGCCAGCTAGTCCGTAACCGCCTATATGACCGCCTATGTGCAACTCAAAATTGTATAATTTGCTCCAGTGGTAGAGACGGTGATTGCATGAGCTCGGGTATAGTTTATCTGATCTCCTGTAAGACGTGTGGTGACGAATACATTGGCGAAACGGGTAGACCCCTCTGTGTCCGCATGAAGGAACACCTAGCCGGCAAAAATAGACCAAATACCCCGCTAGGCACGCATAGGACCCAGAGACATAACGGGGACGACTTCGAAGTATGTGTCACGATCCTCGCACGTGAACCAAGAACACAGGCGCGAAAAACTCTCGAGGCACTCTGGATTAATTCCAGAAATCCGAAAATGAACCGCAGGGAAGAATGCCTCATTGTCACGCGTGATATAGGGCAGTACATAAAACTGCTTTTCTGATGTGAGGGGCACATTATACTTCCACGTGATTTCTGTGCGGTTGGTCTCTACGTGAGATACTTAGTGGAAACCTCATAGGAAGCGGTGAGTGTGCAAAGCTGTGTTCAAAGTGATTGAAATCTTGGTTTGGAGTTTCTTTGTTTGGTTATGGAGGCGTCTGGCCGAGTAGATTGCTATCAACTTGACCTTTCCAGGCTCTGAGGAAGGCAAAATCCGCCGAAACGTCAGCTTAATCGTTAATCATGAACAAAGAATAGTAACACCTCGCGTTTGCTCAACAAAAATGCGGAGAAAGTTACTTGATCAATGCCGAGGTTAATAGAAAGTCGGTCGTGGCAGTTACAACGAAAAGAGTCGAATGCATGACGCATCCGAAAGCGGTTATTTGAGACCAGAAGCTTCACCTTTTTACCAAATGTTTTAAGCAAAGCTTCTATTCGTTATTGAGAGATTGGACTTCGACCAACAACATGTACAATAGACAAGCTGTATTGAAATAAACAAGGTAACTCATAAATAGGAACTAAAGTGAACTGAAGATGTTTCAAATAGTATTGATTTCTTAAACCAAATACCAACTAAGTTTGAACGAACTATCCAAGTGTGCTAATATCCAAAGGATATCACTCAATGATTAGGATTGTTCCGTAGTGAATTCCAACGTTTGAAGACTCGAACTCAACGCAAGCCCACATTGCTGTACGTTTACCTTCCTTGGAAACTTCATAGTATTTTTACACACTGGTTAAGATATTTGAGCAAGAGTTTGGAGCTCTTAATACGATAAAAGTAAGAAAAGCGCACCGCATGAGATTGTCTGGGATTATATCACTTTCGACAAGGTTTTAAAGCTAATTTTCCTTTTTGATTGCAGTCTTGCAAGAAGATATTGTTTTTAGAACCATTTCCTTTTGAGGAAGCCTACAAAGAATTCCAATACATTAGATTTCAGTGGAAAGTCAATGAGGATAATAATGAGGAGATGGCGGTGATCACAGTAATCCAGCTTAAGACTGAACTCGTCGCGGAGCATCTGACGTTCATTTCCTGGATACACATCGGGCTCACTTCCTTAGCTCGTAAGGCGATGTTTGTGGCTGCAAAACAAGCCGCGGAGCCAGCACTAGGTGAACACTGCAAGCTTAGCGAATCCTTGATGCAATCCACAGCTCGGAGAGCTCGTCTGAAAAAAGCATCGTCGACCGTCCATTTATAGCTCGCATTTCCCGTCTTTAAATCTGTAGCTTTTTCCCCTATGTTAGTGATGCGTATTCTTTTAGATAATAATTCTAAAGTGTTTAAAATAAAAACGAAATTTTCAAGTCTTTCATAGTCACGAAACTATTGGCTCATTTTAAGGCGAACCATAGAGATCGGCTTTACTCCAGTGGTTCATGTGAACAAAACAGCGCAGTATTTTTGTAGCTAAGACGGTGAGTCTTTTCTAAAAGAGGTTGCCGCCTTTCATGGTTTTTCTATTCTTGATTTCAGTTCAAGAGTGTTTTAACTTACGTGCACATATCGGAATCACTAGGTAGACAGTTATTTATGCGTTGAGTTAGCGACTGGACATTGAACGCTCGTGATAGACAGTCGTGATTGGCAAGAAACGCTGTAAATCCACGTTACTTTGGGCACAAAACATTGTTTAAAAATAGCGCCACTTTTCGAGTGATCTTCATTTAATCCTTTTAGTTACTTGTGGCTCGTCTTTTAGGTTGGCTTCATTTTTCTTCATCAATTTCCTAACCTTCGAAACAAATCCTTTCTTCGAAGTCACACAGAGACCATAGACAGTAAAAACTTGGTATAAACAGTATTTCTTTGCGTTCTAAGCATCGAAATACCTTTATGAGTGCAATGCATCATGCCTAGACGGTAGACATCATAAAAGCTAAAGCTTTCTGTCGGCATCGATCAATCCCTGAGGGATGCGCCATGCATTCGACTTCACTAGGCATCGTTTAGAGGTGATTGAATGCATATCTGGTCTTTACAATGACTCGCGTTGGCCTACCGATGTATCGAGCCAGTGCGGCTATCCTCCCAGACAAGTCTGACACCAATTTGCCGACCCCGGAAAGATGGAAGGCTTAGTGGGCCGTGGAGGCGCGGATTGATTCCACATGTGTGCATGCGCCACTTCAACCACTGCGCCACGCGCCCAATTGTTTAATCACCGTAACTAAACGGTTTAAATCATAATTCATTAAAATCTGGACATGTGTGACTTTTACATAAAATGCTTTATTAAAAGTGAACTCCAATGAAGTTTTCTTACTTTCATATCATGATTTATGCACTCTAGATAGATGCTTATTTTACACTGATGTCGCTCTTTTATTCAGGACATTGATTGATTTACCTGGCTTTCCGACTCCACAAGCGAATTCGAGAAAAGCGTGATTCTGCACATAGGCGACAGATTCTTCATTCACCTTACCGTACCATTGAGTGAATCGCTCGAATACCGGAATTGAGATGCAGTCGAATGATACCAATCGTAGGCATGATAGCAGTTCGTCAAACTCTCTGAATATCATCTACTTTGTAAATATCCAAGTACGCAGAAAACTCCCATTTTAAGAAATAAAGAATAAAGCACAATGCGTTTGGCGTTCAGCATTCCCTGAGGAGCGCACATGCATTCGATTCCATTCCTAACATTGCAGGAGTAACTGAATGAACATTTGGGCCACATAGTGGCTTCCAAGAGCGCAATGATGTATGAAGTCAGTGTTTTTCATATCCCCTTAAACAAGTTCGGTATGCCACCGAAACACCGATCTGAATCTGAGGAATCGGTTTGTTAGTGGTCCGAGGTCGAACCAGAGTATATGTCTTTATCGCAAAGAATTTCTAATCATTGAGCTACATGCGTCATGAAGATTAACTTGTGTTAAAATGTCCATATTTTTAAAGTTGAAATTTTCCGTTATTTTAATTGATCGTGTAACACCGATGGTTCATATTGTGCTCAACGGGTTTCGGTTAAAACTAATGGTTAGGAATATTTATAATCTCGAGAATTAAGTTTATACCTAATCGTCGTCAGCGTAATGGTGACCAATGGATACCAAAAAAATCAGAAAAAGATGTTTTGCTTGGAAACAAGGCACGATACAACTACAACGTTGCGAGATATTTGTAAAACTCTGGACAGCAGGTGTTTATGGTGGAGAACGAACGCGCTATTGTCCTTTCCGGGAAGTAACGCGTTCACCACCACACCATGTGGGTCCATCGTTTAGCCTGTCTCTCAGCTATTTCTATCGATCTTTGCCACAACAATGACCCGTCCGCGGGATTGATCTGGGGCGCCCAAATCGGCATAGAACCCAGTTAACGGGTGATTGCTGTGGCAAAGAGCTGACGGTGATTGCTCTGGCAAAGATCAATAGAAATAGCTGAGAGACAGGCGAAACGAAGGACCCGCATGTTGTGGTGGTGAACGCGTTACTCCCCGGAAAGGACAATAGCGCGCTCGTTCCCCACCATAAACACCTGCGGTCCAGAGTTTTGCAAATATCTCAGCAACGTTGTGGTTGTATTTCGCTTAGTACCCCGCCGCGAAATTATAGTAGGCAGAAAACAAAAAGATAAAACATTGTGATTTCAACTACAGCCGCAGCTTAACTGGGTTCTATGCCGATTTGGGCGCCCCAGATCAATCCCGCTGACGGGTGATTGCTGTGGCAAAGATCGATAGAAATAGCTGAGAGACAGGCGAAGTTGGCAGAAAATAAAAAGGAATAACAAGGCACCATAGTTAAATAACAACTGAATAGAGAAAATGTTGACGTTGATTTTCCTTCCTAATTAGTCAGATACTGAGACTAATTGTAAGAGAATCCAGCTAGCCTAGACTGGAAGAAAAGGTTCAGAGGAACCATCAAGGAAATCTGTGAGCTTCACAACAATCGTGTCCTTTGGGAGGACTACGCAACCTAGTCAAATCTTCACAATACTTAATTGTGCCGATCAACTTCTTCGAAATGGCTCCAAACTTCTCCTTATTTGCAGACTTTTGGTTCAGAAAATATTGTTACGGTGCTAAAATTTTTTACCTAGTAAATAATAGGGATAGCTTAGTGTTCGTAGAAGAGCCACATCATGATCGATTAAAACGGTCGAAAGCTTAATTTCTTCGGTGGTTTACCGAACTAGATGTCACTGGCATCCCTCCGGACGCCATAGTCCCATTATTACAAATAAAAAGATAAAATGAAGAAAAGACAAGCCACTCACCGGCATATATTCGTGAGAGGCATAGTTTTCAATTGCTGCTCTAGTCGACTGTATTCCGGAAGATAATACGGCCCCGAATGAATGCCGTACTTTTCGAGGTACGTTGCGTAGCAGTCACGAACGGTCTAGAGAAAATGTGCCTTGAATTCTAACAAAAAGTCTTTCGGCTTTTCTATAAAACAACCTGTGGTGTCGTGCAGTAAGGAATATTAGAGTATCGTTTCTGTGGTCCAACAGGAGCTGGTATAGGGATGGCGTTGGCTATTTCAGTTAGCGCTTTGTTGACGGCAAGTCCTGCAGGAAATAACTAGAAAAAATAACGAGAAGACGACGCTCATGTGGTAAAATAAAGACTTTCGCACCATGGCTATTAAAATAGGTCAAGGAATAAGGAGCACACTGTACGGAATTGATCAACCCCTTGCTCATGCTCCATGGATTCGCCTCCATTCGTAGCATCGCAGAGGTGGTTTGCGTGTTTCGCTTATACAATTGCTTGCTGGAGCCTACCGGTTTATTATTATTATCGTATTTCTACCTTTTCAGACAGATCTAGCACCTATATCCCAACACGGAAAAGTGCAAGACTTGGTTTGCTCGCGAAGGCTGCACGAGCCAGTGAGTCTGTGTGTATTGCATGATATCTCTGTACACTGGGCTACATACACTTATTCTATGACCACTAATCATACAATTAAAACTAAAATTGCCTTTTCTTAAGTCAGGAATGATGACCCTGACCTAAGAAATTCACGCACCAAAAATACTTTTACTTCACAGTCGTGGGTTTCCTTAAGAAGGAATCAATTTCAACCAGAGAATTAAGGAATATTGTCGAATCACCTCCGTGTTAACGAGTTTATTTTAGGAATAAGAATTCTTCGGTCGTTATTAAAATTTGTTCTTCTCACAGTCATAGGTATATTGTCTTCTAGTGGTATATTGTGTTAAAAGAGCACCCAAGAAAGCTAAAAGAGCCAGAAATCGTCGAAAACTACATCCATACTTAGTAAAAATAGCAAATCAAAAAATCAATACCGATTTTTTGGCCAGAGCTGTTCATAAGACATACTGAAGCTTCGTAGGATACTTTAGATAATAAAAAATTCTAGAAACATCTTCAAAATACCCTGTCTAAGCATAATGTCGGAAACTTTCCTAAAATGAAAGAAAAACACTGCGACGCTAAGGAAACTAGGAGAGAAATCTGGTTTACAGACAACGACAAATATTGATGAGAACAAGTTTATTGAAAACGTACTTATACCAGCTTTATTCACAAACACACTACACGTGATCGAAAACTACAATTACTAAGAGAAAGACGTTTTTCGAAATTATTTTGTTCCTTCTTAAACAAAAATCTTTTTCATTTTGTTCAGCCACCATTTATTTGGAGCCGGCTGGAGTTGTGCGCGTTACTTCCCGAAAGAGTTTATCAAAAAATTGAACACTCGCTTCCTTTTCGTCATTCGTTTAATGCTATTGTTATTGATACATTCGCAAAACTCCCGACCGCAGGTGTCTGCAGTGGTGATCGAACCCACTATTACCCCTTTCGGGGGCTAACGTGTTCACCATCACACCATGCGTGCCCTTAGTCTCAGCTTTCTCTCAGGCTTGTTTTGATCTAGAGGCACTATCAGCAATAACCCATCAACGGTGTTGATTTAGGGAGCGCAAATCGGCGGAGAGAAAGGCGAAACGAAGTACCTGCATGGTGTGGTGGTGAACACGTTAACTTTCGTAAAGGGTGATGGCGGGTTCGATATCCACAGCAGACACCCGCGGTCCAGCGTTTTCCAAATATCGCAGCATCATTGTGGTTATATTTCACATCATACGCCGCCACGAACATAGAATAGGCAGCGAAGAAAAAGTGGCTGTTGTTATTGTTAAGAGTTCTTAACCGGTTATACACACAGTTTTAGAGCCTTGATGCCGATTTAGTTGATCATCCTGTTCTACGCGATGAATATGAACTTGTTAATGTAAAAAGTACACACAAGTCCAGTTCACTTGAAAGTTAATAATTGATTTTTCACATCACATTTGAACTCATTGACCCATTTTCCGTTAGAAATTTTCCACATAAAATCGCAGTGTAGATGATTAGAAAGTAGCTGAACAGAGAGGAGATGTAGGACAGCAGACTTACCAACAAGTACGACAAGTTCCATTGTGATCGATGGCGCCATCGATTCGAAACTGTTTAGCTGGGGTATTATAGTCGGCTCTGAAAATGGGGAGGTGGTAAAACCCATAGCATTGCTGAGTAATCGGCTGAACTCGTTCAAAATTTCCGAATCCATGAAACGAATCGGCAAAAAAAGTATCTAGTCACACATTGTTATTCACGCCGAAGCTGTTCAGCACGCCTCGGTTAGCACCAACATATCTCTCATCCACAAAAAAAACATAATCGCTTTAAACTATTGTGGCATTTCCTATTTCTGAATATGCTGCTTCACCATGGACGACGATTGCGAAGGAGAGAAAGGTATGGCAAATGTGCAGAGGTCCGCACAACTTGTGAAAACGGGTCATCCAACTATCCAAGTAAAGAAGTAAGTAATATGCTCGTTCAGATAATTTCCTCTATTCAAAGAATTCTGTTTAGTTGTGCCTGCCTTCAAGAAGTGACATCAGTTCCTGTTCTCTCTTCCTTTTACAGACTATGGAATTCATTAATATGAAAGCTTGCAGAATTAATTTCTGGAGTAAAAGTCAATCGCCCAAAATATGTGAAAAGATCAATGAAAGGTACCGAAGTACGACAAGAATGGTGCTTTATTTTTGTGATAAAATAGATAGATCAAACTATGAAACTAAAATAAACTACAAGTGCAAGGAGGAGAAGCCTAGGAGGATTACTCAATGTGAATGGAAGAATCAGGGCCAAAAATTTAAAGAATGTAAGGAAAACGGAATATTCAAAAAAGTAATCATATGAAATAAAGCCAATTCGCCAAGATTTCATGTGAAGCTAGCGATTTTATAGCCTAGAGAAAAATTTAGTGATATGATGAGAGAGGTACTATTCGATCTGGGCGGTCTGATTAGGCCAAACTTATACCTCGTCAGTGTTCCCATACTTGACCTGCCCTGATTCCATCCTATGGCTGAAGTACTCATACTGTCGTCGTGAAATAGTTGTAGTCATTGACGTGTTTGCCGAACCTGACGCATATTCACGCTCTTCACACCACTACACACAATACAGTATCATCGCTCAAACATGAGAAGAGCAATGTGACTCAGGCAGTTCCTCCACTTTATGACACATCCACACTGTACCAATCGATTTGTTGCTAGATGGCTTCTTCAGAAGATTTATTCAACAAAGGCGACAGCGTTTACCATAAATGAATCACCTTAATCAACATACAGTCTTAAAAAGTTCATTTGATGGGTGCAATGTGATTCAGACAGTTTTTCTACTATGTGATGCCCGCGCTACATTTGCACTGGTTTGTTGCTGTGAGATTTTTCTAGCTTCAACGACAACCACGACAGTAGCAACAGATTCAGCGCCTGACTTGCTTGAGGCTACACATGCTTACAGACAATTCGGCACACTTATTTTACTACCACATATTGCTACTTGTTGATCGATTTGCTGTTGGAGGATCAACTCAGCAACAACAGCAGCAACAACAACAAGAACGCTAACGCTATCATGTGGATCACTTTATCAAACATATGGGCATACAATGCACAGCATCAATGCTCAAACATGAAGAGTGCAATGTGACTCAGACAGTTCTAATATGACACATCCTCACAACACATCGATCGAATTGTTGCTAGGGATTTGTTCCGCAACAGCAAAACAGTAACAACAGACATCATATAAATCATTCTAGCAAACATTTGGTCTCACGATCGGATTTGTTAGGATTTTTCGCTTAGGGAACAGCATCTGAAAAACGAGATATGAAGTAGCTTTTCTCAGTGGAATGAGCGAGTTTACTTTTGCTAGCAGGGCATGCGCCGCATAAGAGAATTCGTAATACAACTAATGTTATGGAACTTTGCGAAGGGTGAAAAGATGTTTGGACGGACTTTAATGATATTTGCGCTCGATCGTTGTTGTCGATAGCGGTCATCAACACACAATATTTCCTTCGATCAGCTTAACCTCCTACTTCGTTCGAAGAGAAATAAAACTCACTCGATACTTGAATGGCCCGTCCTCACTGGTTGGGAGACCCAGCATAATCTCCATTTTTCGGAGATTTGCTGGTTAAGCCATTATGGTTCCCTGGAGTCCCGAGGACAGCCTGGTCAAAGTCTGCCCCAGGTCTTCACCACCGCAGGCAGTCGCAGGCCTTGTGGATCAGAGGGAGATTTGCCACCATGCGACTAGTTTGACACTATTGGTTTACTCTTAGATAGGCTTCATATTGGAAACGCCGGACTCCTTTTCAGTTTAGGAGACCATGCCGGGGAGACGAGTTCCCGGACCGTACATCGCAGTCCGATACTCAGAAGCACCTCCCAGCCACGATAAGGCGGCAAATCATTGGAAGAAAATAGAACTCTGCCACTCTTAAACTCTGCCGCAGAAATATTATAGCATTTGGAGAATTCTTTTAAACTTATGGCATTTGGAGATTGCTACGTTTTGGAAACAAAAACTACTTTTATGGCTTGTTCTCGTCGCCGTCTCGTTGCAGCCGCCTCATTACGAATATATAGACACAGTAGCAGCCACAAGATCAGTACAATAACAGTTGCCGCACATCCATAAAACATCTGCAACAAGAAACACTTATGAAGAAGCAGTCAGCGAACGAGAATTATTCCTTAATCCATCATCGTCACTCACTTTTTCTCTTCTTCGAAAGAATTCGTCAGAAAGCGCATCGTCTGACGGTTTCTGAAATGAAAGCGATCGAGGCAGCTTTTAACTGAAGGTGGGCGGCTGTTGCCGTCACCCTCCTGTAGTCGGAAGTCATAACGCACCCAGTAGTAGTAACTCGGGCTACCCCATGAGTAGTGTGTATAATACCTTCGTATGTTCTCAATCAATATGTCGTTGTAGTTTTTTTCGACAAGTTGTTCACCATAGTATGTTTTTCCTGAAAAGATTGAGGTCTATATTGCCGCCATTTGAGGTTCCTAGCGACAAAACCCTTCGCTTTAGCGCCGCTTTAATTAAAGAATTGACCTTTTATGGCTTGGAACCTGCCTACGAGTTATCAGTCAATAGAAGTACTGTTTCTGCCGTAATCCGGTATAAATCGCTATATACGGGATTTATGTACCACTTTATCGGGTTAATTTTTTCTATTGCGATTTTGTAGTGATTTTGAACACTACCAAATTCTATTATCCCAATTTGTTTTCGCTAATTTCTGTCATCTTTCTTTTTATTTTCACAATGCAGTATACATGTTTAAGAAAATAAGGAATGCATGTAGCGTTGGTCTTCACGCATGCGCTGTGCATTCACTTCCATTCGTAATGTCACAATGGTGATTGAGTGCATATTTGTACTATACATTAGCTTGTCGGAGCCTACCGATGCGTTAAATGAGTTCTTTTACCCTGACCAACAGGCGTTGTATTGAATTAGCGAACTAATAAGAATAGAAGGTTTGCTGGGCCAGATCTGCGAGATCGTGCCACCGGCCGACCTTTTGTATTACTCTAGCCACTGTGCAACAAGCCAGCTCATGCCGACTATTGTTATTCAAGCGTTCCTCCATTTCTTTGTTAACAGAGCCTTCCTAGAGGTGTTAACAATTCTTTCCGATCTAAATATTGACTGAGCTTTCAATCCGACAACGTTCGATAGACAGAATCAATCACAGACTTCAATGTTCTGCTACCACATGCATTCCTCACCTGGATGTACATCTTCTTCACGCGGTTCACCTTTACATGCATCAAAACAGTTCACTGCCATTATTTTACCCTGAATTCACATACTTTTATTTACCTATTTAAATCTTCTACTTTTTAGAAATTGTTTCAAGTTAGTTTAACTTTTTAGGAACAGCTATTACCTTTTTACGAACGTAGCACCAAGGACCCTGAACATGTGATGTCGCCATTAACGGATGCTTCGCAGAGAGCTCAGCTCGACGACATTTGTTGTGAAGCATGACTTCTTCGGCCTTCGTCATGCTGAAAAAGGTATTCGAGGCATTCCTATGTTCTAATTTTCAGCTCTCTACATTCCCGTTCCGATGTTCATTGTGAAGTTCAAACCTGCTGTGTTTTCCTCGTAAAGTTGCTAACTTTGTACACTTTGAAAATATGTTCGTTATCCCAACGGCTTCTGTTGCCACAAAACTCCGAGTGGGAATTCATTTGTTTATGAGAACCGACACTACATAATGGGTATATTCCCGCATTCACTCCCGTCAATTTATTGCCTTGAATCTTTCACCCATTAGTGTTCGCGGATTTATGTATGACTTCTGTTTTCCCATGTAGAGTCTTATTCGTGAAAATAGTTAAATGCTGACCTCGTATGTTATCGTTAGAATTTTGGAATAATTCTGCTTTAGCGTTTCCAGGTATTCACCACGGACAGTCACTGTCCTTCGTTGAACGGAGGGACTTTTTACCAGTGAGGCTCGTTGTCAATTTGCCAAACCTTGAAGTACGAGGGTCTTGGGTGAGTTGGTTGGCTGGGCGTTGCTGAACCGATCATACGTTACCTAACACATGGTCGCATGATCGAATATCTTAGGATATTTGGATTCGGGATTAGAGAATATTATCCTAAACTGAAAGCCATCTCAAATCACTGCGCTTATGACGCTTAACTTACAGTGTCTATTAAAGCACTTACTAGCAAGATGCAATAAAATGGAAACTTGCTTTTCTCATTGATGACTAGATGATTCGTATAGCTGCGTAGTTTGACGTGCCTGGCCAGACTTGGTCGTTTATTCGGTCCGGCACACCGCACTCACCAAACATTTCATCCCATCGGGGTAAACAAATTGATACCAGACCTTACTTGAAGAATATCCGCGCTGATTGTATGCATTACTAGGTAACCGACAGTTATTGGATAGGACAGATATGCTTTCAATCACCTCAGAGGAATCTTTGTGAAGTTTAATGCTCTATTCTTGATTCTACTGTTCATCTTGACTAGAATATTTTCGGAACTTGAGCATAGCTTTTACTTACTTTGTTCTCTCTTTCTAGCCGTTTACTCGCACGATCCAAGATTTCATACTGTGTGCCAGAAGTTCATTCACATGCTTTTTGCTTTGCATCCATCATGCACTAAGGCTGTCGGATTTACGTGCGGATTCAGGTGAGGCATTGGGATTTTTGGTATTGTTTATGAACCTTGTTGAGTATTAGACGTGCCAATTTTACCTGTGACCACGGAATAGGGGTACTATGATTTTCCTAGGCACTGCAGATCCGTGGGAGCTCTACGGGCAATACTAATACCAATTCTCCTTCCTCGAATGAAAGCTTGATATGCATGCAACAGGTCGAATCTATTGAATAGCATCGCTACTACTGCGATAACATTGATAATAGCTAATAATAATGATAATAATTATGAAAATGAGCACAATAAAACTACGTCAAAGATGTCTGGTTGGAACATTATGGAATCACGGCTGCCTGAACGTTCCTTATGTAGCTCCCTTCCCCATATCCAAGTTCCGCTGACAATTGCCCATTATGGTTTTGCTAGACAAAAAAAACCTTCGTTGATTGCATATTCAAAAGGAAATGCCCTACTTAAACTGGTATTGCTCCAGTTCATTTGGCTTTTTTTCTAGATCCTTAACAATCTTATCGTAGACATCTCTCCAGACCAGACAGCTCTCTCCGGCAGCGTCGTGATTTCGATCACCTTAAAAACAAGGTGACAAACAGAAAAAGATAGACGTAAATTATCAGCTAAGCTAAAAGTTATGCAACGCTTTTCCTTTTCCGTCTTTTTCTCTAAAGCTGAAACTAGGCTCGGATTGAATACCTAGGTAGATGTAGGATGCCATGTCCTCTTGTAGTACACAATCCGCTCCTGGAAGCACTTCATTACAGGTATGTTGTGAATGAAAAGTCTACAAAATGAAAATAACTCCAGAAAGTTTAAATTCCAGTTTAATTTAAGGATTTTCGTAGGGTTTTCCTTATGCCATCATTTTTTTATTTTTCTCATTACTTGGTTTTTTCTGATTCTTTATGTTATCCGAGAAAAGCCTTCTCTGACCTACAACGTTAGGCAAGTGTCTGATGCGAGCTAGAAACGGTCAATAAAAACTGTTGCAGGACTCCGGAAAAAATTTAAATGGCCGTCATTCAGCTAACATCGTGATAAAGACGGAGTTAATGAAGTGGATGACGAAGCAAGGAATCACATGTAAGAACCACTGAGATCTATAAAATATGCGACGCAGGCTTATGTTGGAGTAGGAAATAAAGATTTTCTCAAAGATTACAATTCACCGAAGTGGTTTACTGTGTCTTTATAGCTGGGTGTGCTCATCTTAGACGTCGAAATGCCATTTAAAACGGTGGTTCATTTTTCCAGCAGAAGCTTTAATATTTTTATCAGAAAGCTCCCTCACAAAGAGATCTCGCACCGATTAGTCACCAGGCAACTTGGCGCTTTCCCAAGTGATGGATAAGGGGTTTGTGGCGCAGCAAAAGCGACTTCGTTCTTTCCTGAGAGGAGACGCAGATAAATCCAAATTATGGACTCTGCTTCTGCTGCGCCAATTTGACATACGCCGTCTGTATTTACGAAGAGATATTCATGCATTCGTGTGTGGATGTGCTCTCGGTTATGCGATTGAGTTCTACGGGTTAGTTCAGCCAAAAGCCTGTAATCACGTGGCAGACAAATGTAAGGCAAATGTAAGGAAAGAGGTTAAGAGTCGCCTTTAACAGATAGGCTCCACGTTGCTGTGGGAGAGACTGGCAAGCTAGCCGTGAGCATACCCATGTTCAAAGCTCACCAAACGATAGGTGGGTACCACAAAGACAAACACATTAAGATAAACGGGCCTTTTTTTCCAGATCCAGAAAAATCTTTCTATTCGGCAGCGTTTGGTAGGACGAGTACGGAGGAGCTGCTAAAAACTCAGAACGAACCAATCTAGGCTATCTAGATCGCAGAGGATAAGGATCTGTATCAATGCACACGCACTTAAAAATGAGTTCTTGAAGGAAGACTTGACTACACAGGCAAGAAGAATAAGGTACGAAGTCATCAGGCTATGAATAAGACGAGAAGACATCATGCATTCATCGCTGCCTGTGACACCGGAGAACTGTTCCTCGAAACGTGCCACAGTAGTCGGCGGCGTCGGTGTTCTCGTCAACACGAGTTTGCCCATGAGCATTAATTCATTCGAACAACTAGCAACTCGAATCGGACGCTTACGATTAAAGAGATGTGGATCAATACTGGCTTCGAGAATCCTCGTAGTCTACGCATCGACATCAAGCTATGAAGATGAAGAAGCCAAAGCGTTCTATATGGACTTGGAGAAGTTCTACGGAGAAGACCATGCATTCTGTGCTGTGCTCATCACCATTGAAGACTTCAACTCTAAAATTGGTCACAAAAAACGCCTGGGTAACGTCACACTGGAGCCTACGGGTTCCCAGGAAACGAACAGGGTGAGCGGCTGTCTGAGTTTATCACGGCGACCAAGATAATCCATGGCAACTCGCAATTCCAGAACCCCCACCCTCGAGGCTGGTGTGGGAGTCTTCCAATGGTGAGTACCATGACGAAATAGACCACATCATAGTAAATAGGTTTTGCCTAACCGATGACGCTGTTGTCTTAAAATGCTACACGAGATCAGACCACCGTCTCCTTCGTGCAAGATTCTATTTCTCGCGAAAGGGAGAAAAAGCCGCTAAATTCAAAAACCGAAGTCCCAAAATAACCGTAAACTGAGACTTATTCGTGTTCGTGGCTGTCAAGTTTCACCATTGTCACCAAAACCTTCATAGTAACTTACAATTCCAGAGCTCCATTCTCAACTTTGGACATGGTAGTCTCCCAAAGGAGTGTAGCATAACTAAATTGGCCACACTGTAGTGAATCGAAGGTTTTCCCTAAGCAAAGTCGTTTTCGTCACAAAATTCTACACAGGATCAGATAGTCGCCTTCTTTTTGGAGAATTTCATTAAACGCAGAAGGGAGAAAAAGCCGTTAAATCCGGAAAACGGAATTTCAAAATCGCCATAAACAGGAATTTATACATTACACGTTTCTGTAGTTGCCCGATGGACAGATGTCTTCATTCATAACAATGGCGAGGAAAACGATCGGTTCATCCAACACCGTCGTTTTGGCGCTATGAAAGCTGAGAGTTTGGAATTCATCAAGAGACGTCATTTTCCAGAGACACTCGAGCTAATACGCCAACGTGAATCGCGCGATCTACGAAGCAACCGCCAAGTCACGTTCAAAGCTGCAAAACAGTCCAGACGTACCGCTAAGGAAGATCTTAAAGAGAGAAGAACAGCAGCTACGATTAAAGCTGCAGAGGCAAGGAAAAGCATTCGCGAAGCCCACCCTCAGTTAGAAAACTAAGATGATTGTACTCGGGCCTCCAGGCTGAGCAGTTACAGCTTCCAGAAAGGCACTAGAGAAAAACGTTCGCAATTCCTACTCGGATATCTTAACTAGCCACGCCCTCTTGCTTTCGTGTGAAATATAGAAAGGAAGATATATATTCCAACCTGTTTTCTCTTTCGAAATTCGACATGCTAAACCAGGTTCCTATAGCGTAAGAACCGGACATATGAAGAACCTTTCGCCAGTCCTCGTAAACACACTGGCCCAGCTCCTCACACGTTAACTGACTAAATGCAAGGTCCCTACTCAATGGAAGACCAGCAAGAGCGTGTTATTGTTCAAGAATGGTGACCTACACGATGTCGTCAACTATCGACCAATCTGCTTGCTGTCTGTCGTCTACAAGCTTTCCACTCGAGTCATCCTAAACAGGATTTACAGAACACTGGACGAAGAACAGCCATGTGAGCAAGCAGGGTTTCGAAAAGGATTGAGTACGATGGACCATATCCACACGATAACAAGGCTCATTGAAGTATCGCGAGAGTACAAAAGACCACTCTGTCTCACTTTCATCGGTTTACAGAAGGCCTTTGATTCAGTTGAGATAGAAGCAGTCTTGGAAGCCTTTGATAGTCAAGAAGTCCCTACTCAGTACATAAAGATTCTTCGTAAGCTGTACAAAAATTTCACAACCAAGATTTCACCATTCTACAACGATATTAACATCGACATCAAAAGAGGGGTTAGGCAAGGCGATACCATGTCGCTAAAATTATTTACTGCCACCCTACAGAACGTCATGCGAACATTGGAATGGGATAATATGGGAGTGAAAATCGATGGTCGGTAATTAGATCATCGTCGTTTTGCTGACGACATTGTTCTTGTAACACCAGGCTTTAGACATGTAGCCCGAATGCTTGCCGCCTTCTATGACGCCCTTTGAAACAATGATTTTCAACTAAGTCTCATGAAAGGAATGTTTATGAGGAATGGACTGGGTTCGTATGCTCCACTCACGCTCAACGCGGGGAGCATTTTCGAACGCTCCAGATACGTCTCTCCAGGTCTGAAACTTAACATGACGAACGAATTAGATCCACAGTTGAGCAGCACAAAGCGATCGATTTTGTATAAAGGAGATAATAAGGACAACAAGGAGCATCCGACTTCGTGCTCACTTATGTAACTCCGATTCCTCCTGCTTTAATATGTGTGTTAGATGCCTGGTAGCTCTGTAGGAAGAACGAGAGGTCACTCGGCGTTGTAGAACGCGCGGTTAAAAGGACGATTCTAGGAGTTTCTCGCATCACGAAAGTGAGAGAGGGCATAAGACGTTCCGGCCTACCCCAACGATCAAAAATCGGAAACGCCGTTTTTTAAGCCAAATTGTCGAAGAAAAGGTGATCCAGACACGTTGTGCTTATGAAGGAAAACCGATGGACAAGAGCCGTTAGTGACTGGATTGCTCAGGATATTAACTGACAACAGGAAGAACACATCGCCGATAGTCCGAGTTCTTTTTCAAAGAGCCCTAGAACAATTATATGATGCTCGAAGATTTCTGAAAGCGAACAGAACCTTAGCAAAGCCCAACGGGTTGCTCTTGCACGCGATAGGAATAGTGGGAAGGTTTACTGGTGCCCACTCGATTCACTCGGCGATCAGCGGGACGACAAATGATACAGGCGGTATAAAAGCTGGGGGTAAACTAATACTGAAAGCCACTCCCATACTGGCTGCAGTATAAGTCAACTAGCTTACCTGGCAAGTGGTGGCGCGGTGGGAAGGTCCTAGCACTGCTTTCGAAACTCCACATAAGATTCAGTAAAATTGCACGGTGAGGAAAATACAAGGACAATGGAAATCGTTTCTAAAAATTTTCTTAGTTTCTGAGGACGAGCCATTCAAGCCGTTCGTCCCTATTCATTTTGTATTATGGTTATTTGTATTTTCAATCTTGTATCCATCTGTACCGTCAATGTTGTTTGCACTATCAACTCAACTCTGAGTGTGATGCTGTGCTGTACAAATTCGTCTATGTTACTCATTGTTCGCGATTGCGTCAAGAGATATAGGAAAGCCAATTTTTCCCATTTTGTTGCCCCAGATGGACTACCAGCCGAAATGCCATATGATTTTGCGAGTATGCTGATGATTCTCGACGTATTTGACAACCATCTGCCAGTAGAACAAAGGTGAGCTGAACTGCATCTAAATCTCCTCTTTCTTATCCCTACAAACCAAATCATTAATTAAAAATGCTAACGTTTATTATTAATGTTTCTTTTAATTCCTAGATGTTATGTTTGTTACATTGCCAATGTTCACATGGTATGGTCTCAACGAGTTTTTGTGACACTGCAAAAGTGAAACATTCGTTCTTACATGCACTAGAGCATCGCTGCTAAGCGACAGAATAAACACATCCCCACTTATACTTTCACATAAAACTTTTGGCTTTATACTGTCCTTAACCATACCAAAGGCGTATGTGGCGCAGTGATCGGAGACGCCTGCAATACATATGGGATCGGTTCCCACGCCCCTGGCTCGCCAAGCCTTCCATCCTTCTGGAATTGGTTCCAGACTTGTTTGAGGCTAGCAGTGTAGAGGCCAGATATGCATTCAATCACCGAGTTGAATCCTTAATGAAGTTGAATACCCGACGCATGCGTAAGCGATTGATCAACGCCGAGAGCTTTACCCTTTATTACCCTTTAATCATTCCATTTAAAGCGCTTGTCTTTGAGATAGAATAAAAGATATTAAGACTTTAAAAATGTAGTAAATATGTACTAGCTAGAAAAGTGCAGGAAAATTTCTTTCGTTCCTGCAACGACTTAACACATGACACAAGCGAGCGAAATACTTGTAGCGTAGTGGTACAAGCTACTCTACAATGCATACGTGTTCATTGGTTCCACTCACACCCCCGGGTAAATTAAGTCTGTTTTCCTGGAATTCGCAAAGTTTGCGCCAGAATTTGTGTGGGAGTGTAAAAACGCAGAGCTCTTGCAACACTAAGCCCGCACAAGTTATTGAATAGGTCAAGTGTGCATTCAATCATCTCTACTTTGTCACGAGTTGAGTCGAATGCATATTCTCTCCTTAAGAGGCTTACCTACACCAAGCACCTCACCGTTCATCTTTTATCCATTGCCACTAAACAAGTACCAAAAGTAGCGAGAAAGTATCACGGTTCAGCATATGACAGATGCACTAACTTATCTCGTCACTGACTTCGTAGTACTGGTCACCGTTGTAGAGCGCAGTGTGACAAAAAGAGAAGAGGTGAAGGAAAAACGGCTGCCCAAAACTCATCACACAACCGTCCGCGATAAATGAGGTTGTGAAATTGTTCTCGAACAACAACATCCACGTTGTTGAGAGTAGTCAACGTGTTTCGTGCATTTCTCAACATTTTAACACGTTAGCATAGGAAGAGCACTGAATGGAAATACCAAGCCATACATGCATGGCCGCCGATTCAACCTCGTCCAGGGCCAACAACACCTTCCATTGATTCAGCTTCGAAAAAGTATTGGTATCAGGCATCTCCGGAGTTATAAAAACGCTGATGAGATAAGCTGTTCGCACTCGAAGATCGTTGTCCAGGCCAAAGATGCATTTGAAAATATCTAAAGTTCTTAATGGAGTTAAATCCGTGGTGCATCTCATAGACATCTGTCAACGTGAAATGCTTCAACCTTTACTATTCTTCGAATTCTAACTGCAGTATATGTCATGCAATAATCTAAAAGTACTACGATTCAAACTTACTTGATTCAGTGCTTGAACTTACCACGAATACTGCGGGCTCAAGCATAAAACCCATTTGTTTGGGTCGCCGATTCAACCTCATAACCGGTGGTTGCCATAACCGATAATACCACCATAAGTGAGCGACATATACTGCCTTTATACACTAGAGAGCGGCATTGCGAATGGGCTTTTTAAGAATACGAGAGCGACTACTGCAGCGATCCACTTTTAGCTTGGCTTCTGCATGAAAACATCGAACTGTTTTTCAGCTTGGTAGAGCAGCCTGTGCTGTACATAATAGCTGATCGAATTCCAAAACGTCGTAGCACTTGCAGCGTCATTCATATTTCTGAATTTTCACGTCCATTTGAGCTCATGATCTCTGTTTCACCTGGGACGGGCGTTGGAGCGTAGCGGTTAGCGATGTAATACAATACACGCACTATCGCGGATTAGGCCCTAGATCTGTTCTCGAAAAATTCCCTTTGATCTAAAAGGCTAGCCACTGCATGCGATGAAAAACTAGGAACGCTCTATTCAACACACCATAAAATTCAAGAGACAGTCAGCTTGACCAGTAGTCAGTGACATTCGTGAAAAAATCCTCAAGTATCAGTCGAACTCCACGTAATTCCGAAAACCTTCGTCGATGATGATTCAAGACTGCAGAAAAAGAAATAACTGCAAGATCCCTTATAAAATGAGATGAAGTGCCACTTAAATTTTTTCATTTTGCTTGGCCCATCCTCACACCTAATTTGCAAATCCTAACAGTTGTTCAATTCGACTCGTTTCCTTGCATCCAGCTGGTCGAGTTGATTTAGCTGTAGATCTAGGATAGGCGTGTTGTGGAGCTATGACGTGGATGAAAGGAAGTTGGCTTGGTCCAGATAAGTTTGGTGCTAATTTCTCGATTCCGGAGAGATGTGAGGTCCGGTGAGCCAGGAGTGGCGTCGAGCGAATTTTTTTATTAAGTAAAAATTCGACAACACATTTTCAATCATCTTAGAACTCTACCTTTTCTTACTAATAAAGTAGGATTACAGTGCACGACAGGAAACAAAGGCCGTAAACGCCACCAGTCGCTATCCCTCCAGTGGGATATCATGTTTGCGGGAGTGTCCTGGGAAAACTAAACATGGCAAGCAGGCAACGTTTGCATGATTTCTTGTTCAACTTTCGTTCTAGTCAGCTATTGCAGTCCTCCGGGAGCGCTCACCATCGGTAAAAAATCTGATTAGTTTTCTCCATTACGCGTAAAACTGAAACGATTTGTTACAGGTGAAAAATTTCATGGCCAGCAAGGAGTGTGGATATCGAAATTCCTCAGCGTTGTGGAAGGTGACCACTTCCAATGAATGGCACTTATCAGAAGCTCGAAGTTAGAATTCAAGAGATGTCGTAACAATGGACCACTTTGTTTTTTTTCTAGGTTAACAATAGCCTTAACATCACTCCAGTTGTAAAATTAAGTAAGAATCTTAATAAAGAACTGGCGTTTGACTTGCTAAATAGACGTTATAAATAGAACCTGGAGATGAGTATAAAGACTATCCCATTTATAACACTCTCTATTATAATATGTATCGTGCCAATATTGTCATCAACCTTCCCACAACAAGCATGTTATCACGATATTGCCCTAAACAAGACATGAGCGTCCCCGTTTACTTAGATCCGTCACTACTACTATTATTCCATTCAATCTTCACTCCTTACCTCTTCTACAACCTCCAGCAAAACCAGAAAGAAAGCCACCGGTTGCATACGGAAACGATGAGAAATACTTTAGTTCGTAAGCTATATAAAATCAAAGTAAAGCTGCTCTACTGAATTCGCAAGTATGCATGCAGCACATTGTTACAGAAGCATTGCATCCCACAAACGATTGGTCGTTGGTTCAATTCCGCGCACCGAGCTCACTAAGTCCTTCCTTCATTCCTCCGATGCAAACAGAATGGTACCAGACATTTCAGGGAAGAGAAAATTACACAGGTAGAGCACCGCACGTTTTTGTAAAGACCAGACACACATTCATTTAACGCTGCAATCTTACAAATGGAATCAGATGCACTTATTAAAGAGTTGATTAATGCCGGAAGTTTAACCGCTTATCGTTTTACTATCCTTGCGAGCTTGGTGCAAGTTTTCTTGTCATGAAAGAGAGGAAGCACAGTAGAAATTTTATACGTGCCTAAACATTCTGTTCTTCTTCTTTATCTAATGGGTTGGTGACCTACTGGGTAGAATTTGTCATAATTAATCCATTGCATGAACAGTACGACGTTTTTCTTGTGAGACCTTTTATTTTTAGGTATAGGATGCCTCTGTGCACGAGGGATACCAGGTCCTCCAGTAATTGATGTCGCAAGTTACTCTTAGCTCTTTAAAGTGGTATGTCTTACCTAAGAATGAACGTCATCAGTCGGAATAAGAACTATTGGAATCTACGCATTTTTGCCAAGGAAAAACAAGTTCGCCTATTCCGGTTGCTTGAAATTCTGCAGTTTCGAAAGCGATTAAGTTGTTCAAGGCCTTTTTGGCCTCAGCTTGTCTTCTGAAGCGTTTCTCACAGAGAAAGTTGCCGAGCTGCTTCAAAAGTGGCAATCGATAGGCAAGAAGTCTGCCAAGTAGGACTGATGAGACAGCCTCGTAGCCCAGGTAGTTTTGCCATTGAAGATTCTGATGCGTATTGTCTAACTGCTGGCCCTATTTCGCAGTGGCTTCAAGCAGATTCAGGAAGCTCTACTGGGACAAACAAGCTGCGGACCACACAAACTGCCACCATGACCTTCCCTTAGTGCAATTCCAGCTTTGAGACGTGCTACCAAGCTTCGTCCTGGTCCAACCACTGAGGCGATCGTCGTTCGATGTCATAGAGGACCCACTTCTTGTCGTATATCACAACACAGTTAAGAAACGGACCGCACTACTTTTACAAAAGGAGCGCCGACAATTCCTCAAAACGACGATTTCTTCGATAGTCGTTGAATTCATCAGCATCCATTTGTCGAGCTTCTTCAATTTCCCACTTGTGTTTAGAAGCTACAAAGCAGTTAACACTGCTACACCGAGCTTCTCTCCAAGTTCTCAAGCCTTGCGAATATATTTTCTTCCATCAGCGCCGTCAATTCCGCTTCATCAATAATAAACATCTCAACTATCTCAGCCATCTTGAAGTCGACCTCATCATCGAAATCCACGTTGTTCTAACCGTTCTTTAACACTTTGTCGGTTTCATACTTCATCACTGTTATGAGTCGTTTTGCTGCATTACGTCCTAGTGTGAAATGCGGGAACGAGGTTCACCGACGTTTCTGCATTGACATCAGAAATCCTAACCTTTTATATTTCTGAACAACGCAATTTATACTATAATTCAACCATAAAAAGGATAAGCATAAAGCTCTCGCTGTTGATCAATCCTTGAGGGATGCGCCTTGCATTCAACTTCATTAAGTATCGTTGGAGGTGACTGAACGCATATCTGGCCCTTACAATAACTCGCGGTGGCCTACCGGTGTATCGAGCCGGTGCTGCTATCCTCCCAGACAAGTCTGCTACCAATTTGCAAACCCCGCATGGATGGAAGGCTTGGTGGGACATGGGCGCCAGGGTGGATAGCACGTTTCTGTTGTAGGGCGCCCCACCACTGCGCTACACGAACCCTAAATTCAACCATCACCTGTCTCACCTGTAGTCCCGTTGATCGTCGAGTGATTCGAGCGGGCACCAGCAAACCTTCCGTTCTTACCTGTCGCACGCAAGAGTACCCCAGTGGGTTCTGCTCGCTCTATGGACACGTCGAGCATCATATCTTTCTTCTAGCCAATTTGTGAAGAGCTCTGACCATCGGGTCGATGGTCTTGCTGCAGTACGTTTGACATCCCGAGGAATCCAGTCATTAACGGCTCTTGTCCATCGGTTGTCAATCATACGCATTACGCGTTCGGCCCATCTTGTCTTCGACTGTTCGGCGTACAGAACGGCATCCTTGATTTTTGATCGTTGACGCAGATCGGAGCGTCGGATCCCATCTCTTACTTTTGTGAAGCGGGCTACTCTTAGCAACGTCCTTTCGACTGCGCGTTTGGTAACGTTGAGTGATCTTTCATCCTGCTTACGCAGCGACCAGGTTTCTGACGCATACGTTAGGAGAGGAAGTCCCGTTTAGTCGAAAAAGTGGGCACGGACTCGGGTGTTCTTTGTTCTCTTCACTACATCGTCGATGCTCTTGAAAGCTCCCCAAGCCCCTCGTTTCCTTCTGCTCAGCTCTGGAGCTAAGTCGTTCATCATATTGATTTCCCGACCTGGATAGACATAAATGGAGCATTCGGAGATATTCGTTCCGTTGAGCGAGATCGTGATTCAACCAAACGAAGCGAGATTTTGCATAAAATCAGCTCTGCAATTATATGTGACATTACAACATCCCAAACAGGAACAATTTCTATACAAATCCCACACTAGTATCTGGGCAACTAAAATTTCAATTAATCCAACGAAGCAAACACAAGGGCTTTAAACGACATCGTTAGGTGTTCGCACAGAGTTCCTTGACTTGAGAAGATAACGCGCTCTAATGTCACGCGTGCGGCTGGTGGCGGCTAATAACACAATTCAAATAAGTGTCTGTGCGACAATTGCAGTGGATTGTAAAGTTGTTCTGTCCGCGTTTAATTGCTTGTTGTTTTTTCGTCGTTCTGCAAACTTTTTTATTTCATTCCATTTTTAATATCGTTTATAGCGTATAGGACGCGTGTAGTGCAGTGGTTAGAAGCGCTCTGCAGTACACACGGGATCGATGCAGCGTCCCAGGCTCACCAAGCCTTTCATCCCTACGGAGTCTGCAAATTGGTACCAGGCTTGCCTGGAAGGATATCAGCACTGACTTAACACGTCGGTAGGCTACAGTGGGTCATTGCAAAGGCCAGATATGCACTCAGTCACCTCTACGATGCTGCGAATAGTGTTGAATGCGTGGAGCATTCGTCAGGGATTGTTCAACGCCAAGAGCTTTATCCTTTTATTATGCAGTAGCGTTTTTAGAATACAGAATCCTTTAATGGACACGAAGGAGAATATACCAAGTCAGAAAGGTAGCTCGAGAATCCCAGGAGATCCATCCACGTACACACCGAAAAGAGGAGGGTAAGCTGAATCTTGTTCTTACGTCTCCGCTAAGTAGTGGAGTTCTTTCATAGATTTACTTCGCTATCTTTCAGGACTTTTAGATTGGAGGATTTTGAGGTGGGCAGACCATTGGGAAAGGGAAAGTTTGGTTCCGTTTATCTTGCTCGTTTAAAAGAAAACGGTTTCTTTGTGGCACTGAAGGTTAGTGGCCGTCATCTTCTTTTTTGTATACTTCTTTGGTTTTATGCATGCAAACAGTTTCGTATTGTCTGTTTGAAAGTGCGACAGCAGATACTTTTCACTTCTTTGTGGTTCCATTTTCTAGATTCGGACACAAAAGCGCATTGTCAACTTTCAGGTGATGTTTAAAAGTCAGTTGCGGAGTAGTAACGTTGAGCATCAACTCCGAAGAGAAATAGAGATCCAAGGACATCTAAGGTGAGGAGTGTACTTGTTTTTCTCTCACTTCCAGTTATGATTTTTACGAATATATTTATTTATATGTTCTTATAAACTGATCTTTTTGAGCTGATGACAGGTTGGTATATGCTGCCGTTGTTGTTGGTCGACGGCTGACGTCTCGGCGAATTCTTCTTCCTCAGATCCATGTTGTTTTGAGTGGACTTATGAGCGAAAGACCCACTTGTAACAGCACTACTCTGAGTGAAGCGAAATCACCGAAACGTTAGCCATCGACCAACAACAACAACGGCAACTTATACCAACCTCGCGTCAGCTCAACAAGATCAGTTCATAAGAACATACTTACTTGGTTACTTGGATGGCCCGCCTTCACTGATTGTGCTGGCCCTAGCATACTCTCCATTTTTTCGGAGTATTGCTGGTTTTGTCATTGTAGTTCCGGAAATCCCGAAGTCTTCCTGGCCAAAGTCTGCTCCAGGCCAAAGTCCACCACTCTGGGCGGTTGCCGCCCTTGCGGATCAGAGGGAGATTTGCCACCATGCGACTTTGATACCAGGACGGTGGTGGATCCTGGTATTGGTGTACTCTTAGCTGATTTAAACGCCGGATCCCTCTCAAGTTGGAAGACCCTACTGAGGAATGAATCCTTCCACTGTACATTGCAGTCCGACACTCAGGAACGCCTCCCAGTTACGACGAGGCAGTAAACCGTTGGGAGGTTATATGAACATATAAATAAATATATCAATTATTTATGCCGATGTTTATAGAAACTCGATCTTTTGAGTTATTAAGAATATAGTTGCAAAGGCTTAGACTGTCAGACTCCCAATGGTTTACCGCCTCATGGTGGCTGGGAGGTGTTCGTGGGTGTTGGACTGCGATGTACAGCGGAGGATTCATCCCCTGGCAGGGTCTCCTAAGCTGAGGAGTCCGGCGTTTCAGTCAGGAAGCCTAGATAAGAGTAAACAAATACCAATACCAGGATCCACCACTGTCTTGGTATCAAATTAGTCGCTTGGTGGCAAATCTCCCTCTGATCCACAAGGCCTGCGACTGCCTGTGGTGGTGAAGACCTGAAGCAGACTTTGGCCAGGCTGACGTCGAGACTCCAGGGAACCATAATGACTTAATCAGCAAATCTCGGAAAAATGGAGATTATACTGGAGCCCACACAACCAGTGAGGACGGGTCATTCAAATATTAAGGGAGTTAGTATAGTTGCAAAAACGTCACAGTAATCTTTACACTACTTATAGACATCCCAATATCCTGCGAATGTACACTTATTTCTGGGATGAGAAGAAAATATACTTGGTTCTAGAGTATGCTCAGGTATAGAGCTTTGTTCTACTTTTAGTTTCTCTTTTGCTACTTTTTTTTCTTCAGGGAGGAGAAATGTACAAATATCTAAAGAAAAAGACACGATTTGACGAGGCGAAAACTGCTGTGGTAAGGATTATCTGGATACAGTTCCTAGATTTTCCCTATGTTCGTTGTCTTTCCTGTTAGAGTCTTTTTCCGTGTTCATATTGTAAATATAACATTAAATACTTATGAAGTGGTCACAATATAGCCTTATTTCAGTTTATTTTTCAAATGGCGGATGCCCTAAATTACTGCCATGAGAAAAAGGTTATCCATCGAGACATAAAGCCGGAGAATTTGCTGATTGGAGACAATGGACAGCTTAAAATTGCAGATTTTGGCTGGAGTGTACATGCACCTACTCAGAAGTATGCTTTCTTACAAGAAATTTAGCTTTTCTATTCACCAACGTTTGTATTGGTTGTGCGGGCTCCAGCATAATTCCCGTTTTTTTTTTTGGAATTTTGCTGGTTTAGCTATTATGGTTCCCTGGAGTCCCTGAGGTCATCTTGCCCAAATTCTGCCCCAGGTCTTCACCACCATAGGCAGTCACCGACCTTTGTGGATCAGAGGGAGATTTGACACCGTGCGACTAGTTTCATACTAGGACGGTGGTGAATCCTGGGATTGCTTTACTCTTAACTGGGCTTCCTGATGGAAACGATGGATCGGATCCAAATATTCAAGTAACATTTGTATTATTACCTTTGTATCTTCCGAAGTATTCGATTTATTTGCCCATCCATGATCGGGTTGCTTCTTGGTAATTGTCAACGGCTTATCGAGAAATTTAGCAGCTGAGATGTTGAGGAAACATTTCAGAACTACAGAAGAAACTGAACAATCGATTAGAAAAGCAATCATGACGTAGACACTTGTTCCGCATTTCTCAGAATATTCTGTGCATCTCCTCCAGCTTATGAAGATGAACAGCACCTGTTTTCGGACCGTCTACGTTATGATAGCCTTGCTAACCGTATGCCCAGAGAACGGATCCCGTGCGTTTACCAGCGGCGGAATGAAGATAATCGTCCTACAGAGGAACTTTGTTTCTTTAAAGTTGTGCACAGTCGTTGCAGAACATTGCCTCAATTTTAAATGTGCCTCAAGTCAAAATATTCATCAGAACAGAAAACTGAACTCAAATGCTCAAAACACCAAACTCAGGCGCTTAGCAGCACAAACCAAAAGCGGTGCATGGAGAAGCAGGGATTGGAACACCATCGCTTTTTTTTCTTGGACAAAATGCCGCTTATTCAACTTTTTTGATTTTCGAGATAAGGGCTTCGGCGAGAAAATTCGTTTCACAGGTTCCAGAAAATCTAAATTTCTTCCTGCTTCAATTAAGTTCACTGTGTTGGTTTGTTCTCCTCCAACGGTTTACCGCCTCATCATTGCTGGGAGGTGTTCCTGGGTGTCAGGCTGCGATATACAGCAGGGCTTTGTCCTTCCAGCAGGGTCTCCAAGGCTGTGAAGGAGTTCAGGATTTCCATCAGCAAGTTTAGCTAAGAGTAAACCAGTACCAGGTTCCACCACTGTCCTGGCATTCAACTAGTCGTATAGTGGCAAATCTCTTTTTGATCCACTAGGGCAGCGACTGCCTATGGTGGTGACGACCTGGCGCAGACTTTTGCCAGGCTGACACCGGGACTCCCGGGGACCGCAAAGACAAAACCAGCAGAACTCTGAAAAAATGGAGATTATTCTGGGGTTCGCACAATCAGTGAGGGTGTGCCATCAAAGTCTTCAAGTATGTTGGTTTGTTCGGTGTTGGAAGTAGCCATTATTTTGGCACCGTAATCAACGCATACAGTCACGAAAGCGTAAAGTTGGATCTTTTCCCTTTGTAGACGTCAAACAATGTGTGGCACACTCGATTATCTTCCACCGGAAATGGTTGCAGGGGAACAGCATCGAGAACATGTGGGTTCCTTATAAACTTCCTTTTCTCTCAAGTATCAGGTAGTTATTTCAGTTAACACTTCTTATTGTATTTTTATGTCTTCTATCAAGTTCTTTCGTTAGCGCATGAATCAATTTTCAGGTAGACATCTGGTCCCTTGGTGTACTTTGCTATGAGTTTCTGGTCGGTACTCCGCCTTTTGAGCACGATGATTCCTCTGGCACCTACCAAGCTATTAGCAATGTTCGTTCTTTGTTTAAATTCTATTACGCTTTGTATGATCTTTGACATATTTTGGCCTGCAACGATGGTAACAACAACGTGAACAATAGAAATCATTCAAAATGCTTTGAAGTGACTGATTTATTCTTAACCTTAGTGTCCCATCTTCTACAACGTGTTCTATTTTAGACTAAAGCTGAATTTAAGAAAACTAGCTGAGAGACAGGCAAAATGATGGACCCGCATGGTGTGGTGGTGAACGCGTTAGCCCTTGGGAACGGTAATTTGCGTGTTCGATTCCCACCGCAAATACCCGCGGTCCGGAGTTTTGCAAACATCTCAGCATCGTTATGGTTGTAACGCACATAATACCCTGCCGTGAAAAATTGTATTAGGCAGCAAATAAAAAAGTGAACATGTCATATTTTATTTATAGTAGTGTTCTTCATAATTGGCCAACAGGTTTCTCCGTTACGATTGCTCTTCAGGTACGATACAGCTTCCCAAACTACGTCTCTAGTGGTGCACGTGATCTTATTAACAAGTTGCTGCAACGTCGTCCTTCGGACAGATTGTCCTTGAAAGGAGTATGTTCTATCTAAATATGTCGTTCAGTTTATTTCTGCTAGCTAAACTTGTTTTCTGGCGCTGAGAAAGGAGTGAAGACAAGGAATCTCCTAAAGAATGCTACGCTTTTTTTTTCTCTCTCTCACTATTACTGATTTCGCACATCGTGGCTGAAGTTTGTTACTATCGAACTGCAATGTAAAGCGGTAGATCTATCCTCTAGCTGATTCGCTTAAATGAGCAGTTGGAACTTTGGCAGCAAATGGGCAAACCTTTCTCTTGTTCACAAGACTCCGTGATTTTCTATGATAACAGCTTTCTAACATTCTACCAAACATTACTGGACCCTAGGGAAATGCCATGACAAAAAGCAAAATACAAATCGAATTAGATAGAAGATATTTGCAAAACTCCGGACCGCCGGTGTCTGCGGTAGGGAACGAACGCGCTATTGTCCTTTCCGGTGAGTAACGCGTCCACCACCACTAGTTGAGAGACAGGCGAAACGAAGGACCCGCATGATGTGACGCAGACACTTGCGGTCCGGAGTTTTGCAAATCTCTCAGCATTATACAAGTTATATTTCGCAACAAACCGTGCCATTAAAAAGAATAGGCAGTAAGTAAAAAGGTGAAGATAGAAGACGGAGAAGTAAATCTTTCTCTATTTCTTTAGTTGTTCTGAATTCTTTTTATCTATTTCTAAATATCTCTTTTATTGTTCTTAAGGTAATGGAACATGAATGGGTGCAGTATCATATTCAGAAGCGAATGAATGAAGCTGCTGATGGGAAGAAGTCCAAAAGAGAATGCAAAGATTCTTTACCGTAACTTTCGTTTGCATTTTGTCTTTATTCATTTTATAGAAAACTTGTATAGATCACTTGTATTTGTAGGCGAAATATTGGCTCACTTTATGGTATTCTGTACACATTTCTCTAAAGAGTCGTGCTGATCATTTATATTTGTACGGCAACGGATCATTTTCTATTTCTATTTCCTGCTTTTTCCTTGTGTTCTTATACTCATTTTCTAGACGATTGTACCGACATTGCCATTTGTAAAGTTGTACCAGTGGAATAAAACCAAAATCACTGTACAAAGCACAATATTTTGTTTTTCTCGTGACGAAATGTAATCACAAAGAATATATGGATAAATATATACAATTCAATCATAGTGTCTTCTCGGATGGAATCATTTGGACTAGGAAGTTATTTCTGGAAGAAAAAGTACGCCCTACACATTTTCACTTATTAAGTAGCAGAAATTCTAGAAATATAGTATTGCGTAGTCATCTATGGAACATCGGAACAAAGACATAACATGCCCGTAGAGGAGGGAAAGAGAAAGAGTGGTGGGGAACCACGACGGACTCATGTTGTCCAGTCGATCGGGACCCATTGTGGTTCGGTCTCGAGACGTCGTAGAATTGTCTTCATCTCGGTTAACGATTTGTCGAAATCAGTGTTGACGATTATACTGTCGAAAAGATGTCCAAATTTCTGCAACACAAGTTTGATTTTATTAAAATTTACGTGTTGAGCAAAACTTACAGAACCACGATTGAGAAGTTCTGGGCATAAGCAATTCTCAGCTCTTTGTAGATTACTGAGGTATTGAAATTACGTTGATACCTCCAACGAAGCGCAAGGGAATCGGCTATGATAAATGCCACGGGATTACTCCATGTATATGACTCAATCTTTAGCGATAATAGGGACAACTGAGTGAATATTTGACCTGTACCATAACTTGTTAGAGTCTACTGCTATAACGTTAACTTTTATTTGCTGCCTATTACACTTTTTCACGGCAGGGTATTATGTGAAATACAGCCACAATGGTGCTGAGATATTTGCAAAACGCTGGACCACAGGTGTCTACGGTCGGGATCGAACTCGTTATTACCCTTTCCGGGATCTAGCGCGCTCACTACCACACCGTGTGGGTCCTTCGTTTCGTCTGTACTAGTTCCATCGATCACCGCCATGAGCGATCACCCGTCAACGGTATTCATCAGGGTAGTACAAATCGGCATTGAACAAATTTAACCATTGAACCTATTGATATATTTTGTCAATAGTCTATGTTCTTGAGAATGGGTCAGGTACCAACTCGCCTAATCCTGAGGGATGGGGGTTTTGTTTGACTGGTGCCTAGAATCGAGCTTGTGCTCTGATGTGTGTCGCATGAAGCCTCTGACCACTGGGCTACTCCCACCCATAACACCTACCGTTTACTATACCTGTGCTTAACAGCAGAGTGTGTAGGTTGTCTATTTGACTTTCATGAGATTCACGCTTTTGTTTAAAATCAAACAATAATTTTATTAGAATAACAATAAAAATAATAATATTAAATATGAATTATAATTTTATTGCAGTTCAAACATAAGAGATAAGTCTGATGGTCTGACCTTAGATGGAGAGTGGGCGGGTTGAGGTGCACTGGCCGGAGCTATTTTATACTAGCTATAAAGTGGATATATCCTTAACCCATCCCGCCGCGTATGGGCACTATGGTGTCTCTGGCGATCAGGACCAAACTATCTTATGGACTCCATAGTGTATATTTTGAGTTTAGTGAGTTCCAGACGTTTTTTCACCGAACTATGTATATTCATTCGATAGCTAGTCGAAAGCAGATTAAAATGGTAGGGATATGTGACCAGAAAAATCCAAAGACCCTTCCCTACATTTAATAATCTGAAAAAGCTTCTTTTCGAAAAAGCTCATTGACAAGTAAATTAACCAAAGTTTAACTAACCAATATAGAGTGCAAAATATTTCCAAGTGATGAGCAATGCATTTACAATATGGACCATATTAACACCCAGGAAATACTTGGATACTTGGATGGCCTGTATTCGCTGCTTGAGCAGGCCTCAGCAAAATTTCCACTTTTTCGGAGTTTTGCTGGCTTGGTTATTGTGGTTCCCTGGAGTCCAGAGCTCAGCCTAGCAGAAGTCTGGCGGTGAACCGTTGGGAAGAAGAGTCAGCAAATAGTACCATACATATCATTCACATATATAGTACGATAGACCACACTCTCTTCCACAATATTACCATGTTCAAAACCCCTGAAGCTTTTCAGTCACTGGGAACAGATTTTTTTGATCCCAAAAAACCACAAAGTCCGCAGCTGACAAAAAATTGCACATAGTCCGTTAACCCACCCAGGAGGGACAAGGCGAAATGGATTACACTGCGAATCAATACCGTCTCCGATTCTCTCCTTTTCTTTTTTTTCCTGTTTTTTCTCCAAGTATAAACTAGTACGTTACCTGTTCAATACGCTTTCCTTGTGTTAAGATGACCTTCAGGTCGTCATCCTTGACGTTGAATTGTCCGGTGCATTCTTTTTGCCTGCGCAGCATTTGCAACGACGGCGGAGCGACGAAAAGTATGAACGGCATGATTTCGCTGGTTCTTACGGCAAGTAACGACTATAATAAATCAAAACTTTTAATCGCTTTCACGTTTTAATGAATGTATATTTTTAGAGAGAGAATTCCTTGTAGATATAAATTCCATTGGTTATATGAAGGATTCTAAAATCAGGTTTAAATGTGTTCCAAATTTACAACGACATACCTCAGCCTTCAACGTAAGGACGCAGGTCTTCGATCTTCTGATGACGTTCAGTATATCTGCCGCTGCAGTACCGTACATGTACCTCTCATACTCACCGTACTCAACAAACCTTCCTGCCTAAATATTTATGTTATTTTTGGATTAGTCGGTTCGGTTGAATAGTAAACACTATCTCTCTGGATGAAAGTCATCTATAATTTCGGCATATTTTACCTTAGAAAGATCGAGGAACCGTTGTTTAGTAACGAAATGATAGTGTACGCCGTCGATCTCACTATCGCGAGGTGGTCGTGTGGTGTCTGGAATGCGCATGTGAGCATTTGCATTTAGATATTATATAGATAGACTTTTAGATATCGGGGAATAGAACAAAATTTAGTGAATAATCATCATTAATGGGATAAAGAAACCAAAATTGTCGGAAAGATCTATTATGAATGGAGATTTTTAGAGAATCTCAATACGACATCTGATTCTACAAGTTCAAATTTACTATCTCTTCTTTGTATGCTTTCTAAATGATAATATAAGCACTTTCAAAATAATAGAAAGGGCGCGTGTGGCGCAGTGGTTCGAGGCTCCACTGCGACGCACACGTGGAATGGATCCCCACGCCCACGGACCACCAAGCCTTCCATCCTTCCGGGGTCGGAAAATTGGTACCAGACTTGTCTGGGAGGATAACAACACTGGCTCGATAAATCAGTAGGCCACCGCGAGTTATTGTAGAGGCCAGATATGCATTCAATCAACTCCAACGATACTTAATGAAGTCGGATGCATGGCGCATCTTTCAGAGATTGATCAACGCTGAGAGTTATCCTTCAAAATAATCCTCTGAACCAATTGTCGATCAAGACAGAAGTTCATTTCAAAAGAACTAACGTGTGCAGCGAACCATTCTGTCGCTTTTCAGTTTATTACTGTGCTTATTCAATAATCAGAGGTAGTAATGGACTGCACGAAAAGCTGAGAGCTACAGAGCCCGATGCTTTTAAGGCACAGTGACTAAGGATTCCGTGCGGTAACACACGCACTGTCTTTGATTTGATTCCACACCGAGCTAACTAAGCTGTTATCTACTTGTATACATCATGAATATGCACTCGCGGGTCCTGAAATCCCCAACACTTCTTCAACTTGTCTTCTTTCTGCTAGTGTAATTTACGGGGTGAGAAGAGGTTCGTGTGCTGTCACATGCGCCTGCCACACACTTCACACACTGGTTAGAGATGTTCACATTCACCATATAAAGATAGCCTTTCCTTTAATCCTACTCAGGATTCACTCATTCTGATGTCGATAATTCAGTCCCAGAATTGAATGCGAAAGCACACTTTGATGCATAAAAGCTGGCGACTGCCTCTACTGCGATGACCAAGGACAGTAGTACCCAAGTATCTCAAACAATCAGCCTGACCAACATCCAAAAATATTTTTAGGAAAGACAAAATCACCAAGTGGTAGCCAAACCCACGCGAAGATCCAAAAACCATTGTGGACGGCAAAGACTAGAGAAAGAAGCGAATGAATGTTTTCTGATCCACAAAATATGGAAAGTCAGGTTATATGAATAAACAATCTTACATGGAACAGGTCCCGCTAAGCGTTCACGATCGCTTTCAAGCAGTCGCTGTCGGAGCTCAAGGCATCCGACACCCTCGGGACCACACAGAACTAATGGTCGCTTTCGGTCGGTCCTTGACAGATGCCGCACCACCTCTTCATAGGTTAACAGATCTAAATCACCAGAATTAGCCAGCAACTAAAAGATCTCCTCACTTAGTAGCCAAATAAAACGGGACTTTTCTCCCTGAATATTTCCGAATTATCCTCATAAAAATCTTACAACTTTCTTCAAATCTTTAAGTTATGCACTCTTCACGCAGTTACAAAAATGAAGAATATTGGATGCGTCGTCTTCTTGTTTAGCAATCGCGAGGTTTTTAAACAGCATACATTTACTTCCATGAAAAACACAATACAATACAACGCTAGCTGACGTTTCGGCAGTATCGCCTTCTTCAGAGCCTGGAAGGGTATACTGATATACAATCTACTAGGCCAAACGCTTCAATAACACTTACAAAAAGACGAAGAACTCTTTGGTAATTACATAATCAACAACTCGAAAAACACCGCTTTTTACGTGACTTCAAATGAGGAAGTTTAGAACAGCTGATAATAGTCGCATATGGCTGATGACTGCACCATCCCACATCAGAAATTGATGCGAACATACGGGGTGTCGATAAGATCGACCAATTATTAAGGTAGATGTAGTAGATCACTCATTATACGACCCTTCTTTTATTCACGTCTTTAGCGTTATGTGTTTCAGATTCCTCTAAAACCTTTGCGTAATGCAAACACCTTGGGTTCAAATTCAATCAAAATAGCTAACAAAACTTCGTCTCGGTCCCTAAATAATCCGGGCGGGTGTATAGAGAACTTCTCCCTCGAAAAGTTCTCTATCTATCTAAATAATAGTATTTGAAGTCCAAATATGGCCTCCTCGCACTCGCACATCAAACACCGCAATGTAACCTTTTCTAATCTTCTCGATCAATTATGTACAGTGGTTCAGGCACAATAGCGATTCAGGTTTCACTTCAGTGGCATAGCGACGATGGCTTATCCGAAGGAAGCGTAACCATAGAACAGTTTACTACTTGCTTGCGAAACAACGAAGCTAATGACGTTTGATGTTTCAGGCAGTTAGGTACAGTCTTCTGCGGTCGAGGATCAACAATCCAGATTAACCGCGGTTCTTAGTCATAGTCATTTATTCTTATTCAATCACACTCATTCACACATTCACATTCATCCTTCAGTAATCAGCAGATTATTGCATCTCGTTTCTCAGCTTGTCTACGGCGCAATGTCAGTAGTGGCGGGTGTTACCAAATGCGTTCTGTTTGCAACGCCATCGGTGGCATCCATTGCCTCATTGTTTAGCCTCACTTCACTACAGGCCTTAGCACCTCAGAGCTCTAACTTGTGTTATTCCTCTACCATTACTTCTCTATCGTTACTATCATGTTATTAGTGTTGTATTTATGCATTAAAGGCTTAATTACCCAAGCTTGAGGCTGGTAGATCAACGGCAACAACTAAAAGAACCGCGTGGCTAATATTCCACATCAATCTGAACCGCTACACTTCGCCGCTAACCAATTCGTTACACGGGGTCAGGTCGCGTATGACCTCCGGGCATTCACCCTTGCTATTCATTGCAGGGTTTATGGCATTTATCCAAAAAGCCTCAAAGAGTTTTCCCGCTGGTGTTTTGGGCTCCTGTGCAAGGACATTGACTTTTACTTCAAAATCCTCTCCGCTATGCTTTTGTATCCTATGCGTGCCTAGTGGGGTACTTCGTCTTAGGTTTCGTTTGCCATCTAGGTGTTCTTTTATAGGGAAACATAAAGGTCTGCCCGTTTCGCCAATATATTGATCTCCGCAATTATTACAAGAGATCAGGTATATCGTACCTGAACTCATGCAATCACCGTCCCTGCCGTAAGGGCAAATTACGCAATTTGTTGTTCCACATAAACGGTCATACAGGCGGTTGCGAACTAATTGACGACGTAAAGTAGCCGGTGGTATTTCAACTATCGCTACCGGTTCCTCTAGATCTGCCCTGTTTAAGCACCGTTTTATAGCTATGCTTACTTCATCGCTTATAAAAGGCAACATAAACGGGATTTTCTTTTGGCCAAGTGCTTCGCGTGGGCGCGTCGCTCTCCTTCTAAACTTATCTCGTGGGGTTACTACTTCGTAGCTGTTGGAGATGGATATTTGCCGGGCCAAGTCGCGCGATTCTTCCTTTAGTTCCCTGTTCGAAACATGTTTCTCACAATCGCCCTCTTTGAGTGTGAAGGGTGGGAGGGAAGAAAGGAAATGGACAAGAATGTTCTTGTTACTTGGCTTTCGGTACCACTCTGTCAAGTAACCGCTACTTGATAGGTTTATTTGAACGTTCAAAAACGGAAGCCAGTTTTTTCTCGCTTTCTCCCGGGCGAACTTTATGTACTCAGACTGCTCGTTCAATAATTCAAAGCATTTGTCCATCTCCTCCTGCGTAGAGAAGACGACAAAACAATCACCTACATATCTGCAGTAGAGTAGTGGCCGGAGATCGAGAACAGGGACTTCTATCTTAGACATAAACACAATGGCAAGGCTTGGTGCCAATCGCTGTCCCATTGCCAACCCTCTTATTTGAAATATTTCCCAGACCATCTGAAAATCGAGCAGTTTAGGCACTCCTTTAAGAGAGCCATTAGCTGCTGGATGGACAAGCCATGCATATTTATTCTTTCTTCATGCTCAAGAAGTTCGAAGATGGCTTGCATTGCGGAGTCATTTGACACGTTGGTGTACAGTGCGGTAGCGTCGAAAGACTCCATCACGTACGCGTTATTAGGAGACGCTTTACGTAGACGTTCTAGGAACACTTGGATGTTTGTGAGGTAAGCTAGAATGTGGTAAAGCAACTGGGTAAGTATCAGGCTTAAAAACCAGGTTATTCTATCCGTTGGCCCGTCTACACAGCTGATGGTCGGTCTAACCTTAAATGATGACGGATTGGTTGACGCATGTTCATCGGGTGATACCAGCTTATGTGTTTTAATAAGTAGGTATAGGACGGGACATGTTGGTCTATCGATTTTAAAGTGCGAAATAACCGATGATTTTAAACCCGCAGCCTTTGCCACGCTGACCCATTGATTGTTTAGCTTTCGGTATTGATTTTTATATTCGTTTTCAGAGGATGGGCGATAGAGAGTAGCATCACTAAGATGTTCCTCTGTTATCTCAACATCTAGCTGGCGAGGAATATCTACGAACTCTCCCCCTTACCACTAACAGACAATCTTATTGTTTTCGAGTTTATTAATTCTCTAATTTCCCGCATGCCACATTTTTGTGCGGCTGCAAGGTTAGAGATAAACTTTCTGTCGCGTTTGTGATCAAGGGTCTTGAGAACGCCGTCCGAAAACACGCGGAATTTTATGTCAATTCAGTCGTTAGGGTCCTGCTGTCAAAAAGACGTTTTAGGGAAAGGAGATGGTCGTAGTGCCGCCGCCTCTTGATTTTTATCTTTTTGACCTGGTACCTATACTTGCTTGGCCTGATAGCGGAGTCGATCTTAAAGCTCATAAAGGTTGCATGCTATCCAACGCAGGTTCGTTTTAGAAATGGGCTGTGATGGTGTAAAACTTGGGCCCAATTCTAATAGCGAGTGCGCATTCTCAGGTATTGTTATGCCCCAGTCACGATGACCCTAGATTTTGACGACTTTGAAG